AATGCAAAGCCCTGCATTTAGGTGTAAATCAATCACGGAGATACAGAGTAGAAGAAACTAGCAAAATGGATGTATGACAAACAAACAAACCAAATCCCTGGGAGGTTTCGTACATTATCAGTCTGATGTGAGCCAGCACCCAGGGCAGCTGCTGAAAAGCCTAATGAATCAAAAGTGGGATTTGTGGAAGAAGGACACTGTATCCAGTATACCGAGGAACTGCAAGTTATGTTGCCAAGGACTTTCTGTGGAAACCATCAAGTTTAGCTTGGACAGGACGATATGTTGATGGCCTTTAAATACTCAAAGAGCTTCCAGGGGGAAGTGAGGGTGTGTTGCTCCAAACAGCAGTGCATAGTGTTTGCTTAATATCAGAGAGGTGGACGCAGGTCCCAGGAAGGCAGGCTTCCCACCCATTCCAGGGTCCAGCAATGGTGCTCTCTGCCTCTAGAAGGATCAGGAAGGTGGCTGGTGAATATAAGGAACATCTTTAACAAGACTTTGCCATCTCTTCGAGGCCAGGGTTCTGTTTTATATTCTGTAACTCAAAAAGAGCTTCAGCTCTCACTCCCATGTGGGGCATCTGTATAGATCACACAGCAGTGATATGCCAATGACCTGAGACCAAAGAGCTCCCTGAATCTCCTCTCCTATTCCTGGAGCAACTGACAACATGGAGGCCCTGGCTTAGCCCTCCTTGTGGACAGGACCTTCACCTCAAAACCAAGGTGCCAAAGTTTTCCTGCCAATGAATCCCAATATCCTACTTTTTCATTCCTGCCAGAGGCCATACCAGATTCCTGGCTGCCCCGACTCAAAACTGTGACCCTATCTTTGATTCCCACTTTTATGTATCCATATCCAGAACCCCAAACCTAGGAGGCTTTCCCTCAAAATATCCCCAAGTTTCCATTATTCTGTTTCCACAGCAACTTGTGCCTAGATGTCACCACCTCACAGTTTCAGTAGTGTGCAAGCATGCCTATCCCCACCCAGCAAGAAAGAAGCCTAGAGATCTGTGATCAGCACCCTGGGGCACAGCTGAGAAAAATTAGATTCCATGGGGCGGACAGAAAAATGGAGACAGCAGGGTGAGCCAAGGTGGACAGCCATCCAGAGTGTGCAGATTCCGTGACTGCATCCGGAGGCATCCCTGGAGAACCCACAGGAGGTGGGGGCCCTGGGGCCTCCCCCATGGAACAGAAGGGGATCCATACAGAGAGACAGATTTTGTGTGTTAGAGTGATGAAAGACCAGGCTATACAAGCCGAATCATTTCACCCCAATTAATTAGACTTCCAGATGTATGAAGAGCAAAAAATCCATGCTGTGTGAGAAGTCATAGGGTGAGCATCTGCTTCTTACCTCTGACTGGGGAGTTTAAAGATGGGCTTTTGTAAATAAAATGAAACACTTTTTTTTCTTTCTTTTAAAAAGTGATTATTTGGCTGCAAATGCATCATTTTCTCCTCTGGCTAGGAGTCTCAAATATCTGCAAATATGCATTGCATAATGACCCTCTGGCAGGCTGCAAAATCACATCTTGTTGCCTTTCATGGAAGGAAAATGAAAAATTATGAAAACAGAATGACAAGCTTTCTCTAACCCAAGATTTCATGTATCAACTCTGTGCCTGTTTAAGGCAAAAAGAACAGGATTTTAAGGTAAATCTTCTAGGTTCTGAGAAATCAGACTCTTAGTCAAAAGAAATCCCTAGGACCTCTCTGGCTTTCCTGATATCTTAATGTGAACAGGGAAAACCTATGTGTAAGGAGGGGACCGAGGCTTCCTTCTTAAGACCAGTGGGTTTCAGGTTGGCGCAGCCATGCTTCCTGCAGATCCTCACCATCCAGGCATGGCCCTGGGGGTGGGGGGGATGTCAAGGGCCACCATTACTGGTTTTGCAAATAAGAGGAGATCTCACGAGAACTACACCAAACAACAGTTTGGGGGTTGCTGCCACTGCTGACTTATGGCCACTAGCCCGGTACTGAGCACACCGTGGAAAACAGAGTGAGACCTTTACCTGACAGCACAGTAAGTGGACATGGGTGGCAGGTGTCACCCACAGTCCCCTCTCACAACACTGTAAGCTCCAAGGCTCAGGCTGACTGTTGGCTCTATTTTCTCACCCTCATAGTGACTGGCTCAGGGTCGAGCACAGGAGCTGGAGACTATGATGGACCTTCCTTTGGGAAATGAAAGATGGAGAAAAAACCAGCACTGAATCCACAGCTGGGAAGGAAGAGATCACTCCACCCTAGACAGAGGCCCCCAGGGAGAGATGCCCAGGGTCACTAATATTTGTGTGCTGGACAGGGAAAGGAGGCTGGGGAGGCAGAATTCCTACATACTCATTCTTGAAAACTTTTAAATTTTATGATTTCTCCATGTTATTTAGAAATGCAATAAGGAGGTTCCCTTTTTTTTAAGATCTTATTTTATTATTTATTTGAGAGAGAGAGAGAGCACAAGCAGGCAGAGCGGCAGGCAGAGGGAGAGGGAGAAGCAGGCTCTCCACTGAGCAGGGAGCCTGATGTGGGGCTCGATCCCAGGACCCTGGGATCATGACCTGAGCCAAAGGCAGACACTTAACTGCCTGAGCCCCCCCAGGTGCTCCAGAAGGTGCCCTTGCCATTGCTTTCCTTAAAAGAATGAATCCCAAGAAACATCGGCAGGATGGTGTCGAAACATATTAGACTCTAAGCCTTCCTCCCATGTGCTGAGCAGAGAAATGATCTCTGTTTGGTCTGCTTCCTTTTTCTCTTTCTTTTCGTCCCCTGGGGCTCTCCTCTCACGTTCCCCCCTCCCCCCCTTTTCTTTGTGCCCTTCCCTCTGTATCCTCCCTCCCTTCCTTCAGTCCCACCACTAGATCTTGCCTGCACTCGATGCCTTCCTGCTGATGAGCTAAAAGACTGTCATGCTTCCCACTGTAAGTGAGATTTTACTTCCTTTTAGAAATAGCGCTGGCTATTGGTGTTTCATCACAGCTGTAATAAAGCTACAAAGATTTTTTTTTTTCTGAGGTGGGGGGAGGGGAGGGGCAGCAGGAACGGGAGAGAGAATCTTAAGCAGGCTCCATGTCCAGCACAGAGCCCAACGCAGGCCTCGATCTCACAACCACAAGATCATGACCCAAGCTGAAATCAAGAGTCGGGACACTTAACCAACGGAGCCACCCAGGTGCCCCCAAAGATTTCTTTATTCATCTACAACATTTGCCAGAAGTCCATTTCTACTGCAGAATCTCCTTCCATCTCCCTAGACTGTGGGGTCCCCGAGACCATCCAGAGAGCCTTGGGAAGGGAGCAGCTTCCAAATGAATGTGAAGGTTGGGGAAGGCTCCCAGCATGAGGAAAGAACAGAAAACACTGAAACAGGATAGGAGATATAAATCTTCCCTCAGCCTGGCTAAATCAACCTGGCAAAGCCAGCATTACATTCAGCATCTAAGGTCACCCACAGCAGTTTGTAAAGAGAGTCATTTCCATTTTCCATAGAAAACGAAGGCAAACACAAAAGAGAGAGAGAGAGAGAGAAGATTGTCAGTTTTCTGAGAGAAACCATGGCTATTTCTATTATGAAAGGGGTGGGGGGAATCTATCATCAGTAATATGAGGAAAAGGAAAACTGAGCGGGAGATGTAAGGGTCAACCACGGATCTGGGACCCAAGGAGTCCTGCATATCAGTTCCAGTCACAGAGAAAAGGTTCCTCCCATGACACAAGGGCACCATCACCAGGACGCTGGAAGTCTGTGAGGACCATAAACCCCAAACAGGATCTGTTCTCCAAAGTCAAATCAGGTCTGAGCACTCACTCCTGAGGTACAGCAGAGTCTTTGGGAAGCAGGTAGCAGGAGAGGCTGGGCCAAGGGATAGGACTCACCACCATGAGCTAGAGGCTAGTGCACACCAGCCTTGATAGGCTTGCCAAAGTAGGTGTGGGAGCAAGTACAGGATGGGGAACAGTTTGGGCTGACCACATGCTCTCCAGGGACCCCCAGAATGTTATGTTGATTCTGTGACCTGTGTAAGCCAGGTTCAAGTCGCCCATCCAGGCCCTCTAGATGCCGCTCCACCTGACCCTGTTGCCCACGACAGTCACTTAGATCTCCTCCACGATGCCCCACCCACCCTCAGCCCAAATCTGACTACACTCCAGCCTGGGTTCATTTGCACCTGCTCAGGACAGGACCCCTTCTCACTCCTCCTCATTCCCCTCCCCCGCAAATGGGTCTCCCACATGAGGACCCAGGGAGGAACACACCAGAGCCTTGCCCAGCTTCTGGTACACCTCAAGTGATGGGTAGGTCTGTTTCCTTAGTGGAACATTTCCAGAAGGCGGAGGTCTCACGCCACGTCATGCCTGGATAAAGTCACCACATGCCAAGATCCGCGGGGGAAATGAGAGGGTTCTCCTAACTAAGCACTACTTTCTCAACTATGAAATGGGGTAACGTTATTTATCTTATCACAGTCTTCTGTGGATTAAAGAAAATAAGGCCTGTAAAGCACCTACTATGGTGCCTGGTGCCTGGTCAATCTTTACTCAATGTTAGTTACTTTTCTAACTGATGGTAGAGTTGAAAGGTGGTCTCACATTCCTTTAACTACATATAGGAATAAGCATAGATGCGTACAACACAAAACTATGTCCTTAAGTAACTGAACAGACATGAAGATGAAACAGAGCTGCTAAGATCCATACTGCATGTACGGTACAATCTTTTAATTAAGCATTAAAAACCAGAGGTGCCGAAAGCATCTGATTAAAGCTTAAAAGAAAAAAAAACATAAAATGCGTTAAAAATTCAAAAGCTTTTTGCAATTTGAGTGTATTTTTATATCTATAAAATAGTAGTCCTCATTTGTACTGTTACAGGGCCTAGAACCAAGCTGAACAGAATTTCTTTCTGCAAAACCATCTCAGAGAGGAGAATCAAAAGAAAGGTGTAGGACATGCAAACTGAATAAAACGTTCAACTATAATCTTTCTTACCTTTGACCCAATGAGCGTGTATAGCCACTGAATGGTTTCATTGTGGTGTATTACTCCATTCATCCCATCCACATACAACATAATCTGGCCCAAAGCTACAGAAGAGAAGAGAAAAAGGAGAAGGCATTATGGTTTTATATGTACATGTAACCTTCAGTAATCATAATGTCGGTTGAGATTTTCATACTTTAAGTACACAGTGTGTCACAAACCAAACCTGAAGAGATTTCCTGAGCTCTGAAATTAGCTGAATCTCATCTCAGAGAGAAAGCGTTGGCCATAGCAGAGGAAGCAAGGGCTATTCCTGGTGTCTGGAAGATGCAATTAAGGTACCAAATCTAGTGATTGTTGCTTCTGTGTGTCTTGATGTATAAATGCATGTTTTTATGTTTCTATATCTGTGTGCAGTCCCAGACGGGGCAACCATATCCCTCGGATAGTGTCTGGCTGTGGCCTCCCACTAGGGCCAAGAGGAAAAATCAAGTTTTTAAAAAGCAACCTGGCAGGTCTCAGATGCTATGGGAACATCCTGACCTCATACAATTTTAATCCTTTAGATAAGAGATAAATATATGCTTTATTATTTGCAATTCCTTTAAAAGACTTTTCAGATTTAAAAAAATGTCAGAAAGCATGAAAAACAGCATTTGTCAGACACCAAGTCCCAAATTCCTAGTTAAGGAAAAGACACTCATATTATCTTTATTCACCAGAAAGAAAATACAGGTCATTTTACTACCTTTTTAAAAAAGATTAATTCTAATTTTTCAGTTCCCTTAATAAAAAAAAGCCATTTGGATTCTAGATATTGAACAAACAGAAGTTACACATGCTGAGTAAGTTTCCTTAAATCATGCGTGACCTCCCAAATCTTCTTTCATCCATAATTAGTTGGCACAGGATTGACATTTTTAGGCAACACTGTTTTTCCTGGTCACAGTAGGACATCTCATTGCAGAAAATTGGAAAATATAGAAGAGTGAAAATAACTCATAATCCCATAACTTAAGGATAATCATTCTTAATATATGGATCTATCTTCTTCCATTCTTTTGTTTCTTATACACACACATTTATACATAGGTCATCGGGAAATGGTGCTGAATGAAAATAGTAAAACACAAAATAGTGAGTAGACACTAAGTCCAAGTATAGAAATATACGTCATGTTAAAGAAAACTTATCCTAGCCAACAAAAGATCAAACAAAACCACATAATCATTGAGAAAAATGACGCTCTTAAATATGCAAAAACTCAAAATTTTTAAAAATTGAATATTTTCTTGACATAAAAAACATTGTATTTTTGAAAATAACAGATTCATATTCCATTTAATGGTGAAATACTGGAGATACTCCTATTAAAATCAGGAAAACTAAAAGATGACGCCCACCAATCCCCATGATTATTTAGCCCTGTTATAGAATTTCAGGCAAATTTAAAAGACATGAAATTTAATGAAATGTAGGATGGCTGGAAATGAATACATAATACTGTCATCATTTGCAAGAAATAGAGACCTGGTTAAAAATTCATCTACAGAATTTACTATGAAGAGATCACAATTACAACCACTTTCTCATCTTCGTAAGAAAGGTGGAACATATAAAGAAAGCCATGTTTAATGTAAAGATATAATAGTTAAATGGACATATGACAGCAAATATGATAAAGGCTTAGATAATTTATTGTATAAATAATTCATAAATTGATAAGAAAATACTAAATGCCAAGAGAAAAAGTCAAAAGCATTTCATAAGAGATGACAAGCTAGTTTACAATAACACACAAATTTGTCAATCATCACTAAAATAAAAAAATTAAAATAATGAAGTAGCATTTTCAGTTAAATCAGGAAAAATATTTTTAAAAAAATAATTAGGAATCAAATGCTAGAGAGTTAAACAAGTAACTTCACACATTCTGGGTGGCAAGGCAAACTGATACAAATCTTGTAACAAGGCTACTTAGTGCTGTAATTGTGTTAAATTGTTTCCATTTATTTAATGCCCACTGTGTGCCACGCTCTGTGGGGGCATTTTATACGCATTTTTTTTTTAAGATTTTATGTATTTATTTATTTGAGAGAATGAGAGAGAGAGAGAGAGAGAGAGCATGAGAGGGGGGAGGGCCAGAGGGAGAAGCAGACTCCCCGCTGAGCAGGGAGCCCGATGCGGGACTCGATCCCGGGACTCCAGGATCATGACCTGAGCCAAAGGCAGTCGCTTAACCAACTGAGCCACCCAGGCGCCCTTAATACAATAGCCCTCTGCAGTGGGTATTGTTACCCCACTTGAGAGAAAAACAAAAAACAAAACAAAAAAACCAAAAACAAGGCTCTGAAGAGTACAGGAATGTACTCTAAAAACCCCATCGATACCAAGGCGGGGAGCCCACCTGCAGCCAAGTGCAGGGTGGGCAGGCTCCTTTATGTTAGTACCGGGAGCCTGAAAGTCCTCCCTGAGCTCTTCCCTGTCGTGGCAATTTCAGGAATCTGTCCTAAGGAAATAAGCATAAGGGGAAAAAAAATGAAGCAGCAGCAAAGATAGTCACTGAAGTGTCACCTGTAATATTAAAAATAACTAGGACCTAAATACCTATCATAGTTCTAGAACTCAGCTTCGGTAAATGACTACATATGTTATGTCCTAACCCATAAAACGTTCCTGATAATTAAAAAGTAGAAAATTATAAACATGACATTATGCAATAAAACACTCATGTCTTCATGCATCGAAGGGAAGGAAAACACATGAAATAGTAAGCTTATGGCTGGGTATCTATTCTTTGGATATGTTTTTTTTTTTCCCATTATGGGCATCAATTATGCTTACAATAAAAAAGTAAATAAATATACAAAAGGAACAAAATAAGACTGTATAATATAAAGTGTTAGGTGTTCTTGGTTTACAGAATTTTCTTCCTAGCTCATCCCTCTCAACGTGCTCCTCCCTCCCTCAGGAAGCTACAGCCCCCACTTCAGGAATAGCTCTGAGAATTCAGTACATTCTACCCCATTTTTCCCCTGTCCCCCTTTCTTTCCTCCTGTCCCACTCAAAACAAACTGGCAAATCTCCAGGGAAGATAAGTGTGCACCTCTGTCCTTTTCCCATTCTAAGTTCCACTGTTGAAGAAGCAAATCCAGAGGCAGATTTTAACACCTGCCTCTAAATTAGCCTAAAGGCATGGGGGAGGCCATTTACTCTTCTGCCTTTGGGGAGATGCAACCTTTGAGAGGACCCTGCCCCTAAGGCTGAACAGCTGGGAATGGAGGTCTTTACCATAACTGCCCAGGGCCTGGCCTCAGTGCTAAAAGAAGCCCAAAAGGCCAACGACCTTCTACAAAAGGCTGCCAACTGAGATTTAAAGCCAACTGGAATTTCTGTAAGTTTTCTGTGACCCGCTTCCCTCCAAGATTCTATTCTTATTAACAAATCACCCTGGAGGTAACTCACCAGAAAGTTCATGTCTAATGGAATTCAAGATTCTGATCACACTGATTTGTCATATTTTGATCAAAACTTTCCCATGAGATCTTTTGTCCCCTAGCCCTTACGCGAAAGCACGGCTTCCTGTCAAATCCACTGCAGACACAAGAGGGCGCTAAATAGATTTAAGTGGGTTAATACCACGTTGATTGAATCTCTGAAACCCACCAACCTAATGTGGGCCGTTGAATAAAACACAGAAAGAAAAAGGAGGGGGCCTGGGTCATAGGAGCCAGGAAAAGCAGTGATCTGCATTTTCAAAAGGATGAGAAAGAGGAGACTGTCGAAACACAGTGGTGGGTAATAGCCCAGGTCTGAAAACAGACTGCCCAGAGCATCTGTCCTTCTGCCACGGGTGGACTTTGCTCTGAGCACACTTACGAATATCTGTGCTTCGGTTTCCTCATCTGAAAAGTGAGATAGTAATATTGCAGTATCTATTTCACAGGGGTGTTGTAGGGATTGAGTTAGAACAATGCCTGACTCAGAGTAAGTGCTCAAAAATGTTAGTCATTTCAACTACCTCACTGAAGTCAATCCATTATCTACTGAACAGAAGCACACCATGAAAGAATCTCAAAGACACCAAGTAGGGGAGTAGACCCTCTGCCTCAGGCCAAGTCATAAAAATGTTCTCCCGTATTTTTCTCTAAACATTTTGTAGTTTTACTTCTTTAAATATAGGATCCATTTGAGGATAATCTCTGTGTAAAATGTGAAGTTTAGAAGGAGATTTTTTTTTCCCCCAGATGTCCATTTGATCTAACACCTTTTGAAAAGACTATTGTTTTTATTTCATTCCTTTTGCAAATTGGCAAAAAAAAAAAAAAAAAAAATCAACTGTCTCTGTGTGGGTCTATTTCCGGACTCTGTTCCATTCATCGGTCTATCCCTTTGCCAAGACCACACTATCTTGATTACCGTAGCTTTAGAATAAGTCTTATAATCAGGTAATATGATTCCTACAATTTCACTCTTTTTTGAAATTGTTTGGGCTGTTCCTGTCCTTTGGCCTTTTCATATAAATTTTAGAAAGAGCTTGTCTAAATCTACAAAAACTCTTTCTGAAAGTACTATGAGAAATACACGAAGTCTCTAGATCAACTTGGAGGACTGACGTCCTTGCCTCTTCTGATTCAGGAATCATCATGTCTATTAATTTCAATCATCCGACTGTTTTGATCAGTTCTTTGTAGTTTACAGATTCTGTATGTGACTTTTTGCTAAATTTTAAGTTTTTCACATTTTTTGGAGCTACTAGAAATTCTATTTTGGAAACTTTTCCATTCTCAACTGCTTATTACTAGCATATAGAAATAAAATTGATTTTTGTGTGTTGACCTTGTATTCTGTAACTTTGTTAAATGTATTAATTTTAGGAATTTTTAGGTTTTGCTTTTGTAGATTTTTGAGACTTTCTACTTAGACAGTAATGCTGTCTGTGACCAAGAACAATTTCATTTTTTCTTTCCCAAGCTATATCCTCCCCTTTGCCTGCCTTGCCTGACTGCAATGATTAAGATTTTCAGTACAAAGTTCAACAGAAGTGGTAAAAGTGGACACCCTTGCTTCTTCTCAATAACTGGGGGAAGGCATTTAGTCTTTC